CAAGAGCCATGGTAGCTCACACACAGGTACATCAGGTGCTCTTCTGGACCAGCCTTTTCTGTTCAGAGAGCTGCAGTTAGCTTGGAAAGAAAGCACTCATCTCAGAGGGTTTAGGTGATACACCTGTGCCGGCAGGTTCTCTCTGATGTGGTGTAAGCCCTGTTGAGTTCCAGCAAGGGGGAAACTGAGGACACTGGTGAGGACTTGCGCTGGCCAGAATGCTTCCAGAGAGTTTTACCTTGTGTCTGTTTTCTCAAGCAAAGACATACAGTTCCCTGCTTTAGGAAACCTTAGCAGATAGGCAGCCTGAGCGTTAATGCTTTGCAATTTCACTTTATTGCTTAGCCCAGCTCTACCCACGTAAACAGAGGAGAAAGGTTTTCGGCATCAGCAGATGCAGATTGCCCTTTCTTGGGCAAGTTTTAGTAGTTCTTTGCCCTCACCATAACCCAAAGGACTACAGGTTAGCATATGGATTGATACCAAGGATGAAAAGCCTCCACAACTGAAACAACTCCTTACCGTTTAAACTAGAGTACAGGAACAAATTCAGGACACTTAGGACCCAAGGATGTCTTAACCAATATATACCACATTCACTGTAATACTGAGGAAACAAGTGCAATCTTTTTACCCTTCTCGCACAATTTTTCTGACTCACACAAGGAAGAACCAGCACATCTCATGAATTTTCAGCACATCCACAACATCTGCCTCATATACCTGCCAACACTGTTTAATGACAGCTAATAATCATTTTACTTAAAAAATTCAAAGGCACATCAGATGTGTCCCCACACAGAGCACTCCCCTGACACAATACAGCTATACAGGTACATCTCATCCCCACAAAACACACACTCATTAACTACATCTCCCACCATCAGTCCAACAGCCTTCCTTGCTCCCACAGACACTTCAAATTTCATTCCCCCCTCCTTCCCATCTTTGCCTGTGCTTACCTGCAGCTGTGCTCCAGCATCACAATATGGTCCCATTTTCCCCTCTGGGAGCAGGAAAGGAAGCACCATCCCACCACCTTATTTACTCCCAGTGCTATAGGGGAACATCTTAAATGACATCCAGGCTTGTGGGAAGGGGAAGGTGTGTTTCCCAGCTCCTCCCTGGCTCCAGGCTTTTGTAGGGTAGGGACCATGACCACCAGCAGCAGCTGCTCCACATGCTGCCCTTGACTGCAGTAATTTGGGTTTCTGCTGTTCTTCCACCTGTAACAGGGCAGCTCATCAGATGTGATTTCCTTGCAGCAGAGATGCTTTCTGTTGTGAAGTTTCAGATATCTGGTAGTCAGCGGGTAGCCCACTAACAAGTTGTCTGTGTGCTCAAATTACTTAATACTGTGGCCATCAGTGTCTCATCTCGCTCTGGTTTGCACCCTGGCTCCAACCAGGCTCCCACTTCTGGTGTTTCTGGGAAGGTGCCATCAGAAGTTTGCTCACAGCCAGGTCCTCCACATGAAACATGCCAAGCTCCATGTCTGGCTGAAGCGCCTGCAGAAGTGCCCAGGATAGGCTTTCTTGCAAAAACAGGAGAGAAAAACTTCTCTCATGCAGCTTAAAACATTCCATAACGCAGTCACTGTTGCACTCAGATAGCACAAGGAGACTGTGCTCAGGACAGACCGTGGGCTTGACCTCATGTCTTCCTCCACCCTGGATGAGTGACCCAAACAGTACTAAACCAGGAGAGCTCTCTCCAGGGTGTGAGTTTTTCCTCTAAGAGAAAAAACCCAAACTATTCCTCTCGTACTATTTTGGTGCGCTCCATGAGGCCAGGAACCAGCAGGTGATGCTCTTGGGAAGGCCACGGCTGCCAGGGTACCAGTGTACACTGGAAGGGGGACTTTATCCTGTGTGACAAGGGACCAGAGAGGAGAGAAAGGGCAAAAACCCCTCCTTTGTCTCTCCCTTTACAGTGTCGTCCTACAGATAACACATCCCCTTCGTATTCAATGGGTTAAACTGTTGAAAACAAAAAGCCTTCCATATTTACGGGTATAATCTAAAAATACCCCAAGTCTGATGACAACAAAAGCAAACACAGGCTCCCAGAGAAGCCTTGCCAAAAACGGCGCACAGTGTCCTGACTGGCTGACGCTGCCCCAAGTGAGATGAGACGAGAGGAGTTGAAAGAGCAAGCTCAGCTTCCCATCCCCTCCCAGCCTCGCTGCACGTGGTGCCTTCACCCTCGCCCCACGGCTGCTCCAGAAGGGCAAACCTCGGCTCCCACCCATCCCTCTGCCCAGCCCCTGGTACTGGCTGGCTCCGGGTGCCAGGTGGGCTCTACGGCTCAGCCAGGCGATTGCAAGGGGCCCTGATGTCCCATGAGGCTGAACCAACAGACTCCTTGGGTAGCATAGGACATCTCTCCACCGCCTCCTCTCTGTCCCCAAAGAGGCTGTATTAACTGATGATTTAGAATAATCCTAGATTTGACTGCATTTGGGGTATTTTTAATTGGGAAGACATAAGAAATGCTTGATACAGTTTACTTAGCTCATGTTACACCGGCGTAGCTGTAGGGGCTTTTAGTTTACATCTGCTTGCAAAGTTAGCGGTTTGTGTTTGCTGGTTACACTCACAGCCTGAGACCTTTTCGGACAGCTGATTTATTTGGCCAGCATCATCCCAGCTGCAGCTCGCATACCAAGTTTATGATTTCTAGGCTATAGGTATTCAAGTGTCTGAATGCTTGGTCAGGAAGGGAGATGGTTCGGTGCCCCAGCTCTGGCGCAGCCAGGCGGTATCAGCAGATACAGCTTGCTTGCCTTCCTCCGCCTCCTCCTCTCCACCTCTCTGCTTCCAGATGCAAACACTTCCATATTCGGCAACGTGTAACTACGATGGCTTCTTAAGGGGAAATCATCCACCTTGGCAAATACATTTAAGACTCTTTCTTCTGCTTCACATTTTAAAGCATATGTGGACTAGAGGAAAAATACTTCCATTTTATGTCTCCTAGCATGTCTCAAGTCTTGTATGTAAAGATGCCAACAACCTTCCGAAGATTAGCTGATCATAATTAATAAAGAAAATGCACTGGCATTGGACAATGAATTGGCTCCTGTGAGTAGGCAAGTGGTCTGAAGAGGGAATCAGAAGCCAAGGTTCATGAGATTTTAATCCTAGTTTCTGTATCAATTCCCTGTCCAGAGAGGGACACTTAACTGCTTTGTCTGCTTTATTCACTTCTCAATGGGACTAGACATTAGCTTAGTCACTGTGGTGTTTAGGGGATTAATTAGCTAATTCAGCACCTCACTCTAATGATGTAAAAATCTTAAAAGCTTCACTGGAAGGCTTTGAAGCTGTAGCTTAAGAATTATTGCTCATTTACGACCTTTTTTGTAACACGTCTTGGAAGAGTTAAAGGTAAGGTGAGAGGGGAAGATTTTCATTTTCATTTTAAAAAGAGAGACACGCATTTCCATTTGGCAAGATTTCCTATCCTGATGGGAAAACGTAAACACCCAGTTTCTGATCTTGCCTCAATCCATATTTAATCTCAGAGAGTGCTGTGGTGTAACTTTGCAGAGAACAGTTTCAGGAACAGCACGGGCGAATATTCCAGGCTTCTGGCTGCTTTGGAGACACTATAAAGGAAGAAAAAGATAGGTGAAGCAGGGCAGAGATCTCACGTAATCCCACATGGAGGACACAAAAGACATGGAAGACAAAGCCACAGAGCAAAAGACAGCCTTTCTTTTAACAAGCAATGGGGAGACTTGTACAACGTCCTTTGGGATTAAAATTATTTACCCTTTTCCTCTGTGCAGACCCTTTTGTTTTGGCAGATAAGGGGATGAAACTGCCCGCGAAAGCCGAACAGTCAGAGGATGAAGCCCGGTGGGGATTTCTCACACGGGAGAAGAGGTTGCCCCTCTCCCTGCCGGCAATGCTCTGCCGTAGGGCTGCCTCCCACCGCCCCAGCAGCGCTCACCCACTCCCCTCCGCCACGGTGCCGCTCCGCGGCTGCTCCGTGCCCGGCTTCGGCGTGTGGCAAAGGGAGCGGGTGGGAGTACGAAATCAGATTGAGCCAGCGGCAGGAAGACGAGTGGGGTTTTAGGAGCTGGTGGAGTGTTAGGAAGATGCTGGAATTGAAGCCTGCAGAGGATGGTGAGATTAAAAAACAGGCTGTAGCCAGCCTTCCTCAGCATTTCGGCATCTTAACTGCCTGTTCTCCTTGTGACCCACTGAAGAAGAGGCAGCAAGAGAAGAGATTATCTCTTCCACCACCCTGGCAGTGCAGGATGAAATGGTATTTTGCACCTAACCAGATCCTTCTGCTCTCTCTGTCTGGTGAGGTCTTCTGGAGGGGTGTAAACTGAGTGTTTCCTCCCCGTCTTCAGACAAACCAAGGGACTCCCTCCCTCCCTTCCCAGAGTTCAGCAAGGCACTTGTGTGCATTGAAGATGAGCTCATTCATTCATGTCTTACAGGGCATTTGCAGGCTTCCATCCTTCACTAGGAAAAAGGGCAATTTTTGTAGAAACCACTGGACATCATGCTGCAGGATTTTTAATTCAAGACGTTCACTAAAGAAAGCATTTCCCAGAACTGCGTTATCCAGTAGAATCCACATTACACCTTTGTACCTACCTTAGCAATGCTGTATTTATATTAAAAAAACCCCAAAGACTATTCATAATGGTAAGAGGTGTTGAAATGCATACTTAGATCAGGTGACGGAACCTCCTGGACAACAGCTCGTACATTATAGGCGTCAAAATCAGTTTCTTCTGCTCTTTGCCCGTGCTGTGTATTTTTGCAGGTTGGTTGCTAGACAGACAAGGCTTTTCTGAGCTGCGGGTTTCAGCTATCCATGGGCCCAGGACATCAGCTGTGAATAATTAATCTGAATTGTTTTAGGAAGTCTGAAGGGTGTTTGCAAGTTTTGTAATTTGGTCTCAAGCAGAGCCAAGGGCTTCAACACCAGGTTGCCTGGCTCCAGCACTGGTTTAGCTGCTTCTGCTTTGTTAAAACATGCTCTCAGGTAACAACTTGTGACTGGGGAAAGCGTTGTGCAAAGATGCAGTGCCACATTAGCACCCTTTTTTTTTTTTTTTTTTTGCGTCTGCTCCTTCTAGAGCAGTATTTGTGAATAGTAACAGACTGCCAGACCCATATGGCTTTCTGGAGCCAGTCCTGCTCTAGTAGCGTTGGGGCACGGTACAGTGCCACTTTAGCACCCTTTTTTTTTTTTTTTTTTGCGTCTGCTCCTTCTAGAGCAGTATTTGTGAATAGTAACAGACTGCCAGACCCATATGGCTTTCTGGAGCCAGTCCTGCTCTAACTCCAGGTGCAATTTTCCCTTTTAGAGCTTCTGTGTAGCAAATGTTCTTCCCAAGAGAGAGCCACCAGGCAGAAAAAAGGTAGACCGGCATTTCCACAGACACACAGCACTCCCTTGTAAACTGCCTACAGTGCATAAGGGGTTACTGTTGGGGGCAGGGGGGAAGAGGCCAAAACCCAAAGAGGGTTTTTTCTGTCCTGGTTTTCAAGTATACGTATCAGTGTAATTCAATGGGAGGCAATAGCGTGTTTGAGGGAGATGTGGCTGTGCCTCCATTTGTCCTCCTGTAAAGTGCTTCCAGCATTTGAGCACTGCAGTGGGAGCACAAGAAGTGGGATGCTGTGAGAAGTGGGTCCAAGGGAAGGAATTTGGCATGAAGCCACGGCTTTCACTGGGCTTTTTGTTGCTGGTCTCTCCCTAGGAACATTTGTATCCGCTTTCACCGTGCTGTGCGGAGCCCGGACCGACCTCCCTGACAGGCACATGTGTTGTGTCTTCTGGCTGAACATTGCTGCTGCTCTGATTCAGATCCTGACGGCAATCGTGATGGTTGGCTGGATTATGAGTATATTTTGGGGGATGGACATGGTCATTCTCGCAAGTAAGTACAGTGCACTCACCCTCCCGACTTCTCCCCTCCGTGGCTGTGTTGCTGTGTCCCAGCTAACACCCCTGCAAGCCATGGGACTGCACTGTAGGGAAGGAGAGCCACAGGATGGGCTCTGCAGGTCCATGAGAAACACAGTAGGCAGAGGAATTGCTGGGAGGCAGTTGGGATGGGCCCCAGGACGCATCTGGAAGAGCCTCCCATCCCACCACGTGGGTTAGGATCTTCTTTTCCTCTTTATAAAATGAAAAGTGCAGGAAGGGTTGAGGCCCCCCCAGCACTCTGAACTCTGCTGTCTGGAGCCCCTTCTGCCTTGGTCGCATCCGCATGCGTGTTTGAACGAGAAAGCCCTTTCTCCTTTGCAACTCCGGCTGCATCTCTCCAGTTAGTGCGACCTTCCCACGAGGCTGGTTTTGCTCCCAGGGAGCATACTCAGGTCCAGCTGTCCCCAGAAAAGCCCTGGGGACTCTCCTGGACCCTCCCCTTCCTCCCTAGAATACAATTACCCAAAGGCTTTTTTTTCATGTTTCACACCAAGTTCTTAGGCTGAGCAGGACTGTTTAGCTACTCCTAGAAGGACTTCCCCTACACCCTTTAAGGAGCCTCCAAAACATTAGTCTAGGGGAAGAAGAGAGGAATCCTTTTTTAAACATACATAATGTAAGTCACCCAGTTAGTATATATTACCAATGTAGAATACAGGCTCTGTAACTTTATCTGCTAAAGAGCTTTACTGGTGTAAAAGTTGTATCATATAGCAGAGAATTAAGGTGACAGCCTCACCTCGCCTCCAAAGCCAGAAGCAGCCCACAGCTCAGGGGGCTGATTGCGTCTGCAAGACCCCACTCCCTTTCCAAAGGCTGGCAGAGGCCGGTGGGCCTTGCCCCAAACCAACAGGTCTGAGATCCCTCAGGCTGGTAGGGCAGGCAGTTCCCAAAGCAAGTGCTTCTCCCAGAGAACGTCTTACCAGCAGCTTTTGCTTTTTGGTTTGAAGGGCTCCACTTTGTCATCTCTGCTGATGACATCTGTAGCTTCATAACAGAGGAGGAGAGAGGATCTCAGGAAATTGCCAGGCACCTGCCTAAAGATGAAATGGATGAAACTGAAAAAACAAGCAGGGAACCAGTGCACATCTTCGGCTGCCAAACCCAGGGGTTAAACCCTCTCACCAAACCACCTGCTAATTTCTGAGCCAGCTTCAATTTACAGGCTGAATTAAGGGCAATCCCCATGCAGACCAAATGATGGATATTAAAAACCTGAACATAAGTGAGGCAAAAAGCTTTCCTCAGGGCGAAGGCAGAACTGCCCTTCGTTTTTCCCTGCAAACCATCTGCCGAGCTTCCTCTCAGATGTACCCGCAGAGCAAGGGTAGCCCAAGTTATTTCTGGGGATAAATTGTGCATCGGTGTACATCTGTGACGTGTCTTTAAGAACCTGCCCAATTTGTGTGTAATCCCATAATTATGTGTTCATAATCATATGCTCTTCTGCTATTCCTCTGCTGGACAGCCTCCGTGTGCGGTTCGCTGTCTGGCAGGACCCAGTTCTGCAGTTGTGGGGAGAGGCAGGAAAGCATCTGTCAGAGAAAGAGCTACAGCTGAAACCGTGACTTGCTTTTCTCCGTAGTCCTGTTTGTGTATGTCCTCTGCGTAGAGGGGCTGAGGTTCAGGAGGCTCTTACTGGTTTTCCAGTTTGGTAGCTGGGGAAAACCCTACAGCTTGGCGGTATCGCCCCGAAGCTGTTCCCCACACCTGGCTGGACCCCACCAGTTTGGGAGGCAGAGGGTGGGCGAGCAGCGTGTGGTGGGGATGCTCAGGCCAAGAGGTCCTTGACCACAGCAACAGTATTTCATCCTGGCCCCTCTGGTGGCAGGAGAGAAGGGTAAGAGGAGTCAACATGTCTGATGTTAACCAGCTATATATCATCTGACAAGTTGCAGCCCTTGGCAGTTTCTTGCTGTCTCATTAAATAGCTGGGTTTTAAGTTTACTTACCATGCAGAGAAAATAATGGCTAAATAAAGCAGCTCTTGGTTGATGGAGAATAAAAGAAAAAAATCATTTTTCAATCAAAACAAAGAAGTGATCAATTGCTCCCAGCTGGATTAAACAGCGCTGTCAGACCCTAAATGGTTTGCTTTTTCATGTTTTGTTTTCATGTTAAAAAAAAAAGTAGTAACTTAAAAAGGAAACAATGTTTCAGATGCAAGAAATAAGACATTACATTTAAAAACACTGCCAGGAAACAGTTTGCTTTGTTTGGGTTTTGTTTGTGTGCAAACAAACTATTTGATACACTGGACAGACATTGTACACCACTGTGACTTGAATCTGCATGCAGGTGGGAAACAGTTAAAAAAAATATGAAACTACTGCCCACCTCTAGTCTTCCTCGCCTCGAAATGGCCAATTCCATGTGTCCCTGTGATGGTGCCACACGATTTTGATGGGATAGAGGCAGGGCACAGCGGGTGGTGTCTAAGCTGATGGGGGCCAGGAGTGAGGAGAAAGGTGGGAAGCAGCCAGGGCTCGGCGACTCCGCTCCAGCTTTCCCTGAGGGATGAGTGCCTCGCTCCCTGGATCAGGGCCTGCCTGCCTATTAGCTGGTAGAGAGCTGGGTGGGAGTTAGGGAGGCTCGTTGCAGTTTTTCATCTTCTAGTGCTAATTCTCAGCCCTTAAAAGGGGGAGCCTGCTCTGAGGGGAGAGCTTTGGGGATAATATCATACTGTCTTTAATGAGGGGAAAAGGAGAAGAATTACAGGCCAATGAGGTATACTTCAATTCCTGGAAGAAGTAATCAAATAAGTGACTTGCATGCATTTAGAAAATAAAGAGAAAAAAAGTCAAGCTGTTTTTTTCCAGAGCAAGCTGTGTCAGACTGGCTTGATTCCCTTCTGTGGCAGAGGGATTCATTTTGTGTGTGGCGGCGGCGGTCAGCCATCCCTCCTGACTTTCAGGCGCCGACACGGTCTCACGCAGCGTTCCTACCAGCAAGCCAGGGAGACATGGCCTGGGTGAAAATGCACTTGAGAACTGTTCTCTAAATGCATTTTCCTGAACTGGAAAGATATAAGGAGAGGTATGTTAAAAGGTCCCTCCTGAATCCAACTCTGTTCAGTATTTTCGTTCACAGCTTGACGAGGGACCAGAGAAGGGGCTTACCAGCCCCGCACTGCCGGCAGCTACAGGGATGGCAGGCACAGTGAGGGCAATGTCCGGATTCAAGCAAATCGAAGAAATGGTGTGAAAAAAATAAATGCTACTCAGTAGAGACAAGTCCAAGACACTAAGGAAGGATTAATCAACTGCATAAATGCTAGGAAACAACATGCTAGGGAACAACTTGTTTTTCAGAGAAGGATGTGGTGGCTGCAGTGAGTCACAAGCTGCACAGGAGTACATTGCTGTGGAGGGAACAAACACCGCCCAGGCAGGTAGGAGCAGAGCCTGTAGGACATGAACTGGTCCCCTCACTGTTCTCGGCACACATAAAGCTGCGGCGAGGCTTGTGGCCAGCTCTGGAGGCTGTACTTCATGTGGACAACCTGGAGAGAGCCCAGAGGAGCATGAGACTAGCAGGCTAGTAAATGTGAGAGGGCTGCAGTTTAGCCTGAGACAGACTTAAATAACAGCAGGAAAGATCTGTGCGGAAATTAGGAGACCTATTCCCTCCCGTAAAGTCAAAATGCTGAAGGGGTGACATGGCAGCACCTGCCCTCTCTGTCACTGGAAGACCCCAAGAGAGGGTAGACCCACGTCTGTCAGGGCAAGGTGGGACATGGGAAGAGACCGACTGACCTCGGGGGTCCCATCCAGCCCTCATCTCCTGTAAGGTGCCCTTTAGCGGGATATATCCCAGAAGAAAGATTAATTGAATGCAGTTTTGCTGTCATATTTAATTACTTTTGGCAGCACAATGGCACCGGGCATTTTCTCTGCTAATTTAAATGAATTGCCAGCTGGCCCCATTAAACACTACAGATATCTTCTTTAAGCAGCCATATGGCTTTGGGTACCGGTCCTTTGCTTTACCTGCTGTCTGAAGGCAAAGGTAGATTAAAAGGAAGCACTTAATGCTTTAAAAAAAAAAAATAAATGTGGACTCTCCCCTTGCCACTGCAAATATCCAGCCACCCTTGGTGGCGGCTGGGCAGGGCTGCTGCACCGGGCTCTCCTTGAACCCCTTGTCACGGCTGTGGGGACGAGGCATGGAGCTGAGACAAACCAAAGCCAATTAGCTGGCCAAGGCCAGCTGGAAAAATGAGCCTCCTAAGGGTTTTCTGGGCAAGTTTTCCTCTGCTAAAGGCACACCTTGTCCCCAGCCCACGCAGCACACGTCTTCGTTAGCTGCATCGTGCAGAATGAACGCAGAGGAACGGCCTTTCCAGGAACTCCCTAGCTGCTCAGAGCTCATTATAAAAGGTTTTGTGCCGTTGCTTTACAGAAATACCACAGAAATCAATATAGTAGTGTCACACTGAGGCGGCATAGGGGACAGAAGTCAGGGACTGTTTGTCCAGGCATTGTTTCGCCTCTAATGAACGCAGCCAAGAAGTCAAGCCTGGTTTCTGAAGGAAGCCCTCGCTCAGCTTCTGGCCTCTGAATTAACAACTTGCCTATGAACGAGCAAAGGTGCCATTGCTTGTAGTTTCACAGGACGGGGACTCCTCCTGCAGCCCACGCTTCTGCAGCGGGCAGCTGATTCTCAGGGACTGATTGCCAGCCAGTAGTAGGAAATGACCTGTAATCACGCTGTCCGCTTGTCACTCCTTTGCTAACTACAGCGCTCAGACCTTGCCAGAAGCAGCCGCAGATGATTGCATGGTTACCATACGCTCGGGCTCCAAGGGAGTTTGGAAAGCATCACCAAGCCTCTCTTCTCTGCAGGGCTCCTGCTAGGGCAGGTAGCGCAGCTGCTCTGGGAAGGAAAGGGAGCAGAAGGCACTTGAGAGACTGGGAAGAGAACAACATCCTGAAACAGCTCATAACCTTTCATGAGATGAAGGAAATTCTGAGGACAAATTGCCCGCTTAGGCCTATTATGTTTTTTTTTTTAATCTAAATAAGAGCCGTCCCCCAAACTATGCCTGAGGAAAGTAGTTAAAATACCCTTTTTTGCAGCTTCCAACCAAATTAAATAAGTAGTTAAAATGTTGTAGGAATGCTAAATACCACCGAGGTTTGCAGCACCCAGCGGGGCTGAGGCACGCCGTGGTTGAGAGTTATCTGTGGGTACAAGCAAACTCGGCAGCAAAACTGCCAAAAAGCCATCAGGTGTAGCTTTCCCAGCTCTCGGACCATGAACGGCATGCCATACACTGTCTGGTACGCCATGATGTCTTGTTTGCCACCTTCCTTCAGTGGTTGCCCTTCAGTCAACCCAGGAAATAGCAATGTCACGGAGGAAAGTGTTAGAGGTGTTAGTCCATCCAGCCTGTCCGGCTGAGGGCTGGTGAGCTGGAAAGCAGATGAAGATTCCCCCATCTTCTTTAAACAAGAGCCCCAAATGAAATGGTCCACTTCAAGTACAAGGATTTTAAATAATGTTTAGCCCTGGTGTGAATGTCTGATGGTAGAGCAGCTGTTCTCTGTTTACTCTGCAGCCCCAATTTATTTGTTCTTTTCTGGTTCTCCATGTGTTTTGGATATATCGTCTACAGTTACATTTCTCCCTCTCTCTTTCTTTCATGTTCCTTTGCCTCCTTTTGTTCACCATCAAAGTTTCACGAGGTAAGTTTGTTTCTGTTCTTCCTCCTCCTCCTCCTCACACCCCGTGGCAGCTCCCCATGGAGAGCAGCAAGCGCTCGGCTGGGGCAAGCTGTTTGGGATTTGCTTTGGCTGGTGCTGCCCGCTCCCAGCTCAAGTCCAGCCGTGTGCCTGTACATGTGTGTGTCCGCCTGTCTCTGTGTCTGTCCTGTGGCCGCACAGCCCCGGGGATGTGTTCTTCGCCCAGTGTTGAAATGCCCCTCAGGCTGCCCCAAGGGCACCCTCGGAGCAGGGCAGGGACCCATTTCAGCCTCAAGAGCATCCTGAGGCCACCCTCCGCATGAACCCAGTCCTGGTAGGACAGCCTGTGCACACACTGGTTTCTTTTTGCCTGAATCTTACTTGCAATGGTTTCCAGAAGAAGTGCAATTTCAAGCAAACTTGATTAAATCGGTGATTTTGTGTGCACATACTCAGACCAACTTAATCTTGATCCCAGAGCTGTCTGCTTTACAGAGCTGCACCTTAACTGTATTGCAGGCGTATTAACGTAAAGCTGCTTCATACAGGATAGCTCTTCCTATGCAACAAATGAAATAACTATTTTCATATATAAACTATTTAATAAGTTAAGTCTGAAGTATTTTAATAAATAAGTTTAGCATAGGACAGGTCATACTTTGGTCATGTAAAGAGAGATACAGGCTCGGCCACTGTAACTGGCTTCCAGCCAGCTTCAAAACTGATAGCACGACTGAAAGGATTTCTATTATATCTTAATAAAAGGCGTGGCTATGCAAGCAAGTTACTATAAGCATAACCTAGCTTGCTTACTTTAGCTAAGGATTTATGGCATGCCCCAACTTTCTGGTCCACGTGGGTTTTTCTTTTTTACTGTGCTCCCTAAACAAATTAAACCGATGCTGTAGACAAGCCCATATTACAGGTTTCCAACCATCTCATCTTGCTGTCAGAGCTGATTCACACTTAGAACATAAATGCATAAGAAATCGTCATTTTCCCCCCGAGAAAAAGCTTTTTGAAAGAGGTGAGAGTCTTTCTTGTTCAGCTGCACACGATGGGCAGCAATGCGGCACAGGGTAATAGGTGCCGCTAAGTGTCATTAATCCCCTCTACTCCTTGTGCTCGTTTAGCAGCAGGAGATCCAGACTGCCAAGGCTGGCTGAAGGCGTGGATTTTTCCAAAGTGCAGCAAAGTTGCCGAGGCCAATTTTTAGTTCAGCAAAAAGTCCCTTAAAGATAGGGGTTGTGGCACCTGCTGGTATTTTGTGTTCAGCTTTTTTAAGGGACTTACAAAAGTCTGACATAAGGATTGGAAAGCAATATGAAAAAGCATCAGTGGAAAAGTATTTGAAGAGTTAAGCATTCTTCCGAGATGTGACATTTCAGACTCATTTGAAATTCAAAATATAAAAATGACAGGCTACTTACATTATTTAAACAAAGAAAAAAACTCTCTGGATTTTTAAAAGTTTTCTAGTTGAAAGATCTTCACTATTGCAGGCAGCGCAGGTAAGGACAGTTTGTTTTCTTCAAAAAGGAGATCTTTTGCATTGATACTATCATAATAACAATTTCAGCTTCTCTTAAAAAGAAAGCAGGTAAAGCTTCTGGTGCAGTCATTGCAACCACCGAGGAAAGTGTTAAAAAACTCAGTATTTTTCTCATTATCTTGTGTCAGCACGAGAGCTGCCGGTGCTCTCCTATTGCCCATCCCTGCCCTAGTGCCCTGGGGGAAGGAGCCTTCCCCTATGGGATCTGCAGCCTCCCCTTAACCACTACGTACGGGACAGCAAATAAAGTGGGGCCCCAGTCCCCTGAGGAGCTGCGATGAGCAGTGGGGCAGGCTGCTTTAGCCCTCGCAAGCATCCACGTGGCTGCAACACAGCAGGGCCCTGGTGTCCGCCAACACAGAGCCCCCCACCCCGACAGCTTTGCTGCCTTGGTTGGGAGGTGCATTAAACCCCACGGCCAGGGGAAGAGAAGGGGTGGAGGAGGAGGGATCCAGGCAGTTTCCCAGTGCAATTGGTTTTGCTGCTGGAAAGCTCCATTTTCTCCAGTCCCACCGGACATCTGTTGCACCCTGACAAAAGCACCTACAATTCTGCTGGGCTGGAGCAAAGCAAGTGCATAACACAGCAGTGAGAATATCATTAGGGAAAGGGCCCATGGAGGCATCCTGAGGTCTGTGGTTGAACTCTGACACGTTAGCCTGTGATTAAAGATGTCCCCCTTCTCCTCCAAGAGATGTTTGTTCACCTCTGCAAACCACAGCGCAAATTGGTTGCTGCTGGAGAGCTCTGTTAGCAAAAGTCAGCACGGGAACTAAAAAGGTGGATAGAGGAAGCCAGCCTCCTCCTACCTAGCGGTCCTCTGGAAGGACGAGATTCAGACATAGATCACAAGTAGAGATGCGAGTGTGTCGGATGCACAACCAGCAACCTGCCAGGTCAGCCCTTGGAAACAGCGGTGTCTCTGGAGCAGTATATAAGGGCACACATTTCTCTGGCGCTGCAGAAAGACACGCTCTGATAAAGAATAATTTAGGCAGAAAACATAACATTTCTGTGAAGGTTTTAAGTTATTGGGCTGTACTGGAGTTGGTGGCCACCAGTACCTACTGTGCCTTTATAACCTCTTCAAGCAGACACGCCTCTGCCCACGCCAGGGCCGGCGGCAGGCAGGCACCGCAGCAGCAAGGCTGGCCGCCGACAGCTGCATCGCCGTGCCCAGGAAGGTGGTTGCACCCCGTGGCTGCACGGGGCAGGCGTTGGCTAAAGCAAGGCAGGGTGGCTCGCCAGGCTGAGCCTGCCCCGGGCCAGCCCCCCCTATTCTCCCACATGGCTTGCCATTCCTGGTAAACCAGGCTCGCTTGAGCCTCGCCAAGGGTCCTCGTTAGGAATTAACACTAATCATGTTCCCTTCCCCTCCCTCCTCACAGGCTACAAGGAACAGGGGATCCCACAGCAGCTGTAGTGGCTGGGACAAGTATGGTCAGAGAAACACGGCGAGAGATTTCCTTTGGCAGCTGTGGGCCATGGACCTTTTCATTACCCTTTGTCTTTCTTCTTCCTTTTGTTTTGTTTCCTTCTGTTTGAACCCGGTTCATCTGCCCGTCCAGCGGAGCGGAGGTGCAGAGCAGCCGACGGAGACTTGCACTGATCCCACTGAGCCGCAGAGATGGGGCAAGCACGGCGTGGGTTAGGACTGGCCCTGGCCAGCACACGGTGGGCAGCCGATGAGGAGGAGGAGGAGGAGGGTGCCGGGAGAAGGAGACACCCCTGGCAAAGGTGGCACCTGGGCAGGCAGCTGAGCTGGGGGAGTGGGAGATGCTGCTTTCTCTCTCCTCCCAGGGGGAAGGAGCTGAAGATGTTTTGCCTCCTTTTTACGCTCACCGTTAAAGGAAACCAGCTGTGAACTTCAAATGCCAAGGAGCTATTAATAGATATACGTACAGTATGTAAAAGCAAACCAGCGGTACTTTTTTCCCCCACCCCGAGAGTCCATTGTTGACTGCTTCGTGGTAGCGGAGGGCTCAGCCCAGCCTCCTCTGCTGTCTGTGTATATATGATGCTCAGTGAAGCTCTGTCCTTGCAGATATCTTGAGAAACGTGCTTGCTGTAAATCGTATTGTACCGCTGAACTGACTGGGGCCATCCCCTGCTTCCATCCACTGGCACCATGCGAAGACCAGACCTCCCGCCAGCTCCTGGGGAGACTTTACCTAGCAAGGGACTGGTGCCCCGCAGCGCCTTGCCTCTAGGGTGGTGGGTGCAACCACATGCTGTCAAAAGCTTCTAGTGTAAAACAATACTGGGGGAGGAAAAAAGGAAGAAAAAAAAAAAAAAAAAAAGAGGCTTTTCCCCTGAAAGGGCCTTGCTGGAAGCATCTCCGTGCTTTGGAAATGGATCCCCTTATGGCACGGCGTGTGCTCCTGGCTGAAGCAGCCTCCCCGCTCCATTTCCCTGGGGTAAGCACCTAAAGCTTGAGGATCGCGACTGGTGCTAACCAGGAGCTCGGTAGCAGTCATGGTTGGGAGGCCCATGGCCAAATGGGGTAGGGCTGTGTTTTTGTGATTTGAACACACAATGCGCAGAGCTAAATTGGGCATCCAGGCGGAGTGACCCCCTCTGACCCTGGCTGGTGTTTCAGCAGGGTGAGAGGAGCTCAGCTGGGGGGACCTGGTGGCAACATCTGGCTGCTTTTCCACTCCAAAAAGGTGACGGGAGGAGCCCTGCCAAAAGAGAGCAAAACCAGGGTGCTGCTCTCCTCTGGGGAGGGTCCTCCCAGCGAGAGGAGCTTCACACAAACCCGCTGCCCAAACTGGGAGCCATCCGAGCGCGACAGAGCTGAGACCCGCTTCAGCCCATCACTCCTGCAGAGAGACAGCCAGGGGGCAAGGAGACGGCAGCAAACCCTGCTGCCCTACAAGCTCCTGGCCTCTCCTAGCATGATGGTTTGCTTTTAAGGTGGATTTTCATTTTCCATGCAGAGCAGATCCTGTCAGTTAAAACACCCCGTGTTGCAAAAGAGCTGAGGTATCAAACAACAGCAAGTGCCCCTGAGCCCATGTGTCTCCTTGCCTGATCATCTGCAGCCAGACAGCGCAGACCACCCGGCTGTTCGCCATGCACTCTGTTTAACCCTCAGGGGCATCGTAGGGGTACACTGAGCAGGACAGCAGCCCACCAAGGGTGGAGGAGAGCCCTGCGCTGGGCAGGGTGCCTGTTGGTGATCCCCCCAGGGAGCTGGTGGCGTAGGAAGCTCCTTTAGTGTTTACACCAGCAGGAGACATGGCTCAGCCTCCCCATAGCCCTGGGTGCTCTCCTGGGCTAGAGACCCGCTGGCTTTAATGGAAAACCTTTCCTCCTGGAAAGTTTCCTACCTGCCCAATGTCCACACTCTGCTGTGAGCCTGTGGAAAGCAGGCACCGATACCTCTCTGCTCTCCCAGCTCTGGAAGTCCTTCTCCAGGGCTAAAGATAAAGCATAATCCACAGTCCCAGCTAACTTGTGGTGGGGCAGGACCCATCCAAACCATGTGCTTTTATCCAGCACAGGCATCAGAACTGATGGCAAATTTTTTTTCACCCCACCCTTTGACGACTGTGCGCTATAAAAAGCTTTGGGCTGCCTGAACAGGAGCAAGGGGCAGAGTCAGGAGCCTTGGGAGTGCCAGCCTTGGCTGTGAGCGGGGAGGCTGCGGGCTCGAGCACTTCCTCCGATCGCAGCAGCCTTAATCGGAACAGCAAATGGAACCCATATAATAAGGATGCAAATTTGTAACACAAACAACTCATTGTATATTTTACCAAGCCAGATTTCAGCTAGGGCAGTGTGTTTTGCAGACATTCCCCTTGTGCATGTGCAAGTACTACCTGGTGTTTGAGCACGGCGTGCCTGAGCCAACACGCTCAGCTAAATGCCTGCAAAACTGCATAAGCCCCACTGAGCACATGTCCTACAGTGCCTATAGCCTATAGGAGACATATGTCTAAACTGGCTCTTTGGCACGTGGTTAGCAAGAGGAAAGGAAACCCATCAACATGAAATGGATTCATGGAAGACCCTTCAGATTAAGTTTAAAGCAATATTTCACAGGTCGTGGCCAAATATTAACAGTAACCCCCTGCATCTGTAGATGATAGACAGGCGTCGCTACCCCTGTTGTACAGTTGAGAAACAGCAGTATGCAGTAAGGTTAAATTACCAGACTCCAAAGCAAAGCCATGGCAGAACCACAGGAATAACTCAGGCTTCATTTCTCTTGCCTCACACCCTAAGCGGTGGTTCATATAGCTATGCTGCCCAGCCAGAAATGGGTATTAGCATCTACCCTGTATCTAGACGAGGGTGCTCAGTTCAGCTTTTTGGGCTGCTCCACAGAAAGCAAAGATCCATAACATGGTGCAGACAGGAAAGCTTCTCATTTATAATTTGAGAGGAAGATGGATGAAAACCATCAACTTTTAGAGAGACATAAGCCATGCAACACAGGCAGCAAAGTGGGTTTCTTTGGAAGACAAGCATCAGTTGGTGCTTCTTGTTAATGCGAGTGCTCAAGAGGAAAAGCAGCGCAGTTATCCCACCACGATGCTGCGCCGCAGCGAGGCGTGGTTACCTTGCTTTGCCAAGGAGAGGCTTTCAAGACAGCAGCACTTTGAAAAATCAACTCCTAGTAGGTTAGTGGTGGAAAGATGAAACCCAAGAGCCATCTGACATCTGCGTTAAAACCAAGGGATGAGCTCCTCGAGATAACCGTTGCCACAGCAATCACCCAAAGGATTCCTCCTCATGATGTTCAACAATTTCAACTCTCTTTGACCATTTCTACCAAAAGGACTGGTTAAGAGGGTGGCTGCCCCGTGACCTGTGCTCTAGCATCTGCAGTTCTGTGGCTTGCAGGACTGTACAGATAATACAGAATTGAGCTTCAGCATTTACTGCGAAACAGAGAAGTTCTGCTCGTTCATTTCCAACCTGGGAAAATAAAGGGTAAATAGGATCCTGACCAGGAGCAAACAGGGAATCAGCAGCACAGCTGGAAAACACCTTCACAAGCTGCTGCTGTGATCAGTGGGAACTCTTTTTTTGAAGTTTATAACTAGTCATTGAGCCACCCAAACAACTTGCCAGCTCAGCTGCAGCGAGTGCCATGACCAAGAGCAGTGGTTACCTCTCACATTTGCCAAAACAGAATGGCTGGTTCAAGTGCAAACTCCAAACACTGCCTGAGCATCAACTTAGTTGTGCCGTGGTCTCGGGAGGGATGTGCGGGAGCCTCTGCAGACACGGCTAACAGGTTTCACTAGGCCACCTGGTAGAAGTGTTGAAAAGAAACCAGGCAAAGCCTCTGGGTGCAGAAGTTCTGAAAGAGAAGCAGCCAAGTGTGGCTTAAGAACAACTTGTTCTGGTGCCTGTGAAGACGGATTCACTTTTAGAAGATGGATTTAAACATTTAATGGAGAGGCAGTGCAGAAAGTCTCAGTCTGGGGAGGGTTAAGCAAGCTGACATTTTCACTGGGCCCATCCCAGAGACCCAGCACCTGTACGAAAGGTCCCCCAGGAACAAAACATAGCAGGATTAGCTCCTTGTCAGCATCGCCAGGGTTTGGCTGGCCTTCCAGGCCACGTTTGGTGCTGTCTGTCCCTATGCTCTAGTGAGGATAGGAAAATTGGATTAGTTGGGGAAGGGCTTGTTTGGAAATGCTGCTGTCCCCGGGACTGCTGTGGGTCTCCAAAGAGCATCACTTCAGTTACATCTGTGTGCTGGCTGCGTTTATTGCATGAGGGAGTTTGGCACCAGCAACACTGTGCAGGAGAGGTGCGGGATTTATAATTTACTATCAGGTTTTGCTCTATAAAAATTTTTCTTATTTTTGACCTTTGTATCAAATTGGTGAAACCAAGAAAACAGCCAATGCACCGCTCTGGAGGCTCTGAAATCTGTCCATTGGACATCCAGGACAAAAGGCCTTATTTCTGCCTGTTGTGGAGGTTTGCTTAATTGATTTTAATTAGCACCAGGCAGATTCCCACTCTCTACTTTAGGACGGGAGCAACTTTATAGATTGGCCTTGCTACTGGGGAGCAAGCACCAAATTGTATTTTCCCAAAAACTGTCCTGCTATAGTAATAATGATAAAAACCTCTGTTTTTTTCCAATAGCCCTGATTAAAACCAGCACCCCCAAGCTCTCCCCAGCTCAGGTGTGAACAGCAGCATGCTCTTGGGCAATGGTGAGCCCCTGAGCCTGGTTTCAGGTCTCCCTGTGGCAAGTAGCAGGGAGACATGGGGTCCAGTGAGCTCGGAGGCTGAGCCGCAGGGCAGGGCTGAGGAAGCTGGCGGGGACAGATGGGATTTCAAGTCTTAGTGGTCACAAGGGGAAGTCTGCTCAGTCCCATCTTTAGTATCATCCCCTGTCATGGTGACTTGTTTTTCCCCCTCTAAGAGACCAGAGGTTTGTGCCAGGGACAGACCAGGCAGAGCCAGTTCCCTTGACAGGCTCCCAGGGAGCCTGCGGTGGGGAAGCTGGCAGCAAGCCGGAGATAACATGCATGGTGCCCACAATTCACGGGCT